TGGAAGGGTGCATGCCTTTGTCTCTAGAAGTCCATGTGTGTTTTCTATTGCAGCAGAATTTGTTTAGCATGTATTTCATACTTATTGCTTTCCTAGTCGTAAATTTTGTATTATTAAATGGGTCAAAAGTAAATATCTGAGAAATCCTGTCTTAACTAGGGTTATTGTTGCTATATTAAAACACCACTATTAAAAGCAACGTGGGCATAAAGGGTTCATTTAGCTTACATACCCTGAATCACAGTCCACTGAAGGAAGTGAAGGGAGGAAATCAAACTGGACCAGTACCTAGAAGCAGGAGCGGACGCAGAGACGGTGGAGGGGTGCTGATTACTGGCTTGTTCCCCATAACTTGCTAACCTGCTTTCTTATAGAGAGAGCATAAGACCACCAGCCCAGGTTTAATACCGTCCACAATGGGCTGGGCCCTTTCCTGTTAGACTAAGAAAATGCCTTAGAGGCTTGCACAGTTTGATTTTATAGTTACGTATTCTGAGTGGAGAGTCCCTCTTCCCAGATTACTCTAGCTGATGTCAAGTTGACATAAGACTAGACAGGACAGTACCTTTAAACAAAACAATTTACACATAATTTTAAGAAACTGACTTATAAAATATGAATTGTCAAATTGTATAAGGGCATTGTTATTTTTAATGACCTTGTTGCTGTTATAGAATATCATAGTATGGTTAATATTCCTGAGCACTGAGATAATCCCAATATATTCACAAACTGCTCTGATACATAAAACTAGATTTTCAGGGAAATCTGAGTCACAAAAAATATTTGTCAATCAAAACCCTCAACTCAGCTCACATTCTCCACATAGGCTCTACAATCAAATATCCAGCGCTTGTAGAAAATGCTTTGGAACTTGCTGGATAGAAAATATATATTATAGAATGAATAAATTATTGAGTGTCACTTCAGATGGGAGCAGGTACCTTCAGGATGGTCTGGCCATAAAAGAGCAATTTAAAAATGTGTAGAATATGTTTTCTAACAGCAAGTGCTTATTAAAGTCAAAAGACATTAAATCTCTATTATAGCTCATTTTTTTTTTTTTTTACTTTTTAAGGGTATGATATTTATGCCTATAAATTAATCCTCACACACAAAAGTTTTGTTATAAGCAACTGAGGAACGATGAACTATCAATTCACAATACGTGCATGACTTCGGGGATATGGGCTGACTTTCTTGTAACCAAATGTCACAATTAAAGCTGCCAGCCACTTACTATCCGACACACAGCCATCCCAATTATATATGTACCAGTTGACCTGTGTTGTTCATTTTTTTCTAATTAGTAATGCAGAAAGCTTGGAGAGAGAGGAACCCTCAAGCCAGGATTTCTGCAGCTCATGAAGCCTTGGAGATAAATGAGTAAGTAGTGAATAGATTTGTTATTAAAATGAAGTCATGTCTTACGTTGAGTATTTTCGGCCGCCATTGATGGGACACTTCTATTAAGCTGTGCATTTGAACTGCACGGCTGTTTTTGAATACACCACTTTCTAAAGTTTTTTTTCCATTAAGGACAGCCACATGTATGTGTATGAGAGGGGGATTAGTTCTGTTAGAACAAAGTTCAGTGCCATTTCTTTGACCCTAGATTAAACCCTTTGAAGGATATGCTTGGCATATTGTAAGAACATAAACTAAGTACAATTCTTGGAATTGTTTTGACAGGGACCCTTTTTTCTAGATGTAGAATACTCATCTGTGCATCCCTGTTTCTAGATGTAACTTCTGCTAGTGGGAGAAACAGCAATTACAAAAAATATAAATAGTAAAAAAAAAATTTAAAAATTTAAATGTTAAGATAAAAGTAAGAGGAACTGCTGTTTTTACTGTTGCTAAATATTCTGTGGGTTACCAAGGAAGACTGGAAAATATCTTCTGAAGATTTCGGAAAATGAGATTCTTAATATTGGAGTCATTAAAACTTAGGCTGTTGGCAGAAACCTTAAAGGTCACTTATCTCAGCCACCCATCTGGTACTTGAATCACCTCAACAGGGCCTTTGCCAAGTGGTCATTGTTAAACTATTTTGTGATTTTCTCAAGAGGCTTACAGAATCTTCTCTAGAGGGGTCACGAACATTAAAAAAAAAAAGTCACTAAGTTTCAAATCCTGCTTCTGTAATGCTGAATGTAACACACCTCTCACTTTCTTGTCATCCACAAGTTTAATATGCCTGCCTTGTGTGTGTCATTTATGTTTCTGAGAAGGGTATCAGGGCCAAAAGCAAAACTCTGGGCAAAACGTGTAGAAACTGCAGGCTATGTCTTCATGAATCACCTTTCTTTGGTATCATCTCGCCAGTTACCAGGGTACCTAGTTACACTGTGATTCTGTCCATATTTCTCCATTTTGATCTTAAGAATGTCAAGTGATAGGGAGTTTTAATTTATAGTAAGTCTATTAGGGAAAACGAAGCTAGCAACCTTGTGTTATTTACTCTTAGCCTTTTACGCTGGCTTCTGCTTTATTTTTATTTTTGTTTTCTTTTTAATGTGCTTAGAGATCATTTCTCTAATAATCCATTGGAATTTCTTTCTGAATCACTGTTCTGTCATTTGGAGAGTCAGCCTTCTTTCCTGTTGTGAAAATTTATGGTGCATTTGTCATTTCATCTTGTAGTCTTTATTCTTTGTGGTTCCACAACTATCCATAGAGCACGATTTCATGTCCTGCCTACAATATCAGTTGGCTTCCAAGGGTTTGCCCTCCCCAGAAGAGTAGTTCACTTAGAATGTGTTACTGATGTGCTGTCTTACATCTTTTTGCCCATTTTAGAGTTTAATTTCTTCTCTCCTTTTTAGTCTCACAGTCATTCTCCTTGATAAAGAAGCCAGGAGCAAGATGGGAGTGAGAGAATTTTCTTTTCTCTTTATTATCTCCCACTATTAACCATGAGCCTTCTTTGTTTTAATGTTGTTGTATTGTCTCTTTTGCTTATTTGTTTTTGTGATGATTTTGTAGAAATTGGGAGGAGGGAACAATAGGACCTTAAATGTAACTTTAAAAGGAGGGCAGATAGTTGTCTTTAGTGGGTTTTGCAGTTTTTTTTCTTATTTATTTATTTATCCATCTATCTATCTATCTATCTATCTATCTATCTATCTATCTATCTATC